TACACGAATAGCCCATTGCTGTGGAGTTTCATACGAACTAATAATAGATAAATTATCATATATTCTTTCAACCTCAATCATCTTTTCGAATTGACCAGGATAAAGGAAACCATAACGGTTCCTAATATATTCAATATCGTATCCAGGACGAAGATTGATGGGTTTAGGCACATATTTATTATAAACCTCGTCTAAAATAATATCAATGTATTTACCAGGCCTAGGTCTATTAACAATATTTCCTGACATAATTATCAATTTATAGTGTTTTTAACGAATTCTGGTGATTCTTTAGCAACTTATACTAGATAATATCACCATTCAAATTTATACAGATTTACTGATTGAGATTTAAGCGATTAGTTGATTTGTAGCCGATTTGTGAGACTACATACTGTTAAACCCAAATTCATTTTTATTCTATTACAAGCATATCATATCGGGATTTACAGTATATAGGGTCAGATTTTATATTTACATGCATATGCACAGCATCTTCGGCTAAATCAGTTTGTGGCATGATGTACTGTATATCGTATCACATGAGATCCCCACCAGTTCCTCGATAGTTCTAGGAGAGTTCCAGGAGCTGGCGAGTTTCCATAAATCACGAGATGATCGGCCAATCAGATTATGTATAGCTAAAAAAAAAAGAAATGACCGGCATAGCTCATGGCGCAGTGTTTATTTTTTTAAATTGCCAAGGCGGGACACCATGTCGCCAGGGCGCAGTATTATGATCTGCCGAAAGAAATGATTACGAAGCATACATTTAGCGGTGATCGTCAATGCATGGTTAAAAATTACCAGCTCGATATGGGCAAAATTTTTATAAAATGCTTTTTGAAATACAACTCTATTTTTCTAATTGCCGAGGCGGGACACCATGTCACCAGGGCGCAGTAGAATGGCGCAGTATTACGCGGTTCCTTTGGAACTTGCTCCTTTTAAAACTTCGGCAATTACATAATCGGTATCATCTACAGTTAGATTTAAGATGAAACCGGGAGGGTTTAACTTTACCCGTGCTATCTTTTCTTTGCCTATAGTATCGAAAATTCTAAACATCTTTCGGGCTCTTTCCATTCTTTTTTTCAAAGCATCATCAGAGAATTTCGTCTCAGGAATCTCCTTCCTAACCTCACTTTTGACCAAAGCCATTGCTCCTTCTTTACCATAAGTGGGTTTTAGCTCCTTATATCGATTATATAAAGCTTCCCCAAAATCAAAGTAGCTGAAGATAAGGTCACGAGATGCATCTTCGTTTTTTATTTCGGCATTGTCTATCTTATCAGAGAGTTGTAAAAAAATACTCCTGGCATCTGTTGCACAACTTGATTCCTCTGAGATTCCACCAACAACAGGAATATCGGTTAATAATTCTTCTATAAGTTGCTTTAGTGTACCCGATACCTTTTTCCCACTGGACTTTTTCATTTTCTTGCTAGACGATTTTTCGGTAGATGCGGATGATTCCCTAGTACGTTTTTTCTGTGCATCACTCGGATCGTTGTTAGCAAAGCTAACTATCTCTGACATCGTTTCAGACGAAGGGCAGGTAGGGCACATCTTGCGAGAATCCTTAATGCAATCGTAATGCACAACATGTTTGCAAGGTAAAAAAATTGTTGGTTTCGTGAATTCTAGGGAGATTTCTTCGGAGCATTTCTCACATATAGGGCGTTGGATTTGCCCGCTAGAGAGTTCCTTTGAAATCGAGTCATCCAAATTTTCGGAATTGCCAGGTGTAGTGCTAACAACCTCAATTGGGCTAGTTGCCTGATCAGAAGTTTCCTTTGCGATCACAGTAGTCTTGGACAAACTTTGTTTCTCTTCGCCTAATATCCCCAGTTCGTTCATAAGAATTACCTCAGCCTCGTCCACTTGCTTGGAGGTGGTATCTGCAGTCGGGATTATAGTCTTGTCTTGTGATCCCTTTTCCTTAAAAAGATCCGGAGAGAGAAAAGTTTCAATATCTTTATTACAATCCTTATTCGGGCAGGTCCTAAAGGGACCGCATCGCGCTTCTCCATTCATCAGATACTTTTCGAGACACTTCTGGTGAAGGATGTGTCCACACGAAGCTAGGGTAAATTCTTTGTATGGCGGGTTCGATGCAGAATAAATCTCTTTTTCACATAATGAGCATGGATTCACATTCGGGATACTGATATGCGTAGCGAGGGTGCTAGTATAACGGAGGATATTTTTTGCGAGCGCTACGATGTGAGTTCTATCCATACCGTCTTCGTATATGGTTGAAGAGTCTTGAGCAAAAAAAATGATCATTCTCTTTTATATCACTTGTAAAATTTGCAGGAGAAATCATTCCCCGGATTTTCATTAGCAATTACGCACTGCATTCCGTCATTCATTAATCCCTTGCAAATCAATAAAAAATGACGAAGGATTAGCATATACACCCCAGATCCCATACCTGAATATTGTTTTATTGGTATGATACTAGCAAGCTCTGGAGACATGACACGCAAAAATTAGACTCAGAAAAATTAATGTGAAATATATATGCAATCGTACGTCGCACAGCCCCTATTCTTCGGCAAAGAATTTTACCGAATATCTTCTGCGCATTTCAGGTGACACTAATACTGCGCCAAATTGTTGAAGGAAGATCTTTATAAGAATGTAATATCATCAGCGAATACTGATCAAATTATTGCCTTCTTTTTTTACAATTTTCGCACGAAACCCTCCTTCAAAATGTCTTCAACTTCTTTGAACTCTGGCTGGAAATCAGCGCGTAGAAATTTTCGAAAAAGATTTAATAACATATATCATAAATTTCCTAAGTTACCAGAAACTCTCCCAAGAGAAGATAGGTAAGTGTGCCTCACGCAAATTCTTTATCCGCCTAATGTTACTTCATATGATTATAGTCTTCCCTTGCAGATTGGTTCGTATATTACAGTGAAAGATTATAACACGTTTCTTGACGAAAACGAAAAAGTTGGATATAAGTTTTGTTGGGACGGAGGCAACATATATATCATTGAAATGGCTAATCCAGAACATGAAGCCGTAGTATCACATATTTTTAAATGTTTTGATGAGCCGAATAACCGAGCGAAACTTGGCCCGATAGAAGTACTTGGTCAACCATGTAGAGATTCTTTCTTTTGATCTACTTGGTTTTTGGCCTGTAGTCTAGAGGATAGACCCGATATTCGACCTTCGGATTTAAATCCCGATCGAAACTCTAGTAGTAAAAATTCACATTTGTTTTCTATAGTTCATTACAATCCAACCGGTTCTGGGGAAAATTATGCGCCAAATCTCGCTGTTCGTGGCTCAATTGATCATGTTTCAGTACCCATAATTCCGCACCCTGGTCCGCCCCCAAGCGACGTAAAAGTACTTTTATACTTCATTGACATAGTTATTTTCAGAGCCAATTTCGCAATATTAATAATATATTTACACAGGGTAACCCTCATGCGAGAATCATCTGTGAGGTCGCTAACACTCAATGCATCGCTGACTTGAATACAAAATGCGAAGATTGGATGCATGAAGGATATGTGCGCTGTGTACTGGGCATAAAACTTTTTCTCAAAACAACTATAACAATTATGGGAACAACTGCCGTTCATCAGGCAATGGTGGTATGTCTTGTATGTCTTTTTATTCGATTATTTTCATTTTTAAGAGTTTTTTTAATAATAGGCTAGGTTATGGATGCGCCGAGCATCGAGAGGCAGTGTTTTATCGGGAAATGCAACCTTAGCAGTAGCAGGAGTACATGTTACCGAGGTAAGATTGATATATTATATTCTTGTGATAAAATCTCAGAGGGCTAAAATAACTTTTGCAACATAATAGTGGGACTTCGGCACGATACAATATAATAATAATATACCCACACTCACCGGTTGCAACGCCTTAAATCTCAACGCCTTCCAAATCAACATCCCAATCACGGATGCTTTCTATGACCCTCCAATCGTTGGGGGAGTTCTTACACCATATGCTGTTTTTTTACCTGGAACAGTTGTTGGTGTTAATTTCGTAATTAATTTATTTGAGTTGCAACGAGCGGTTATACGAACAAAGTAACATGTCATGACACACTTATTGCTTATTTGATTAATGCTCTTCAAATACTTTAGGCCTCAAACTTTCATTATGTTGATTTAATACTTATTCATTGTAATAAATAATATGTAAATTTACAGCAGTTAATCGAAATTTTTAAACCTAATTTGGCAAAACTTTATTATATATTTTAAGAGAAAATGACATGATCGTAAACCATTTAATGCGAGTCTCAGCATCAAACTAGTTTCTTTGCTCTTTCACTTTTCCGGTAAATTTCTACAGCTATTGCTCCTATCACTACTATCACTAGCTAACTATGAGACTCTCTACAAAACAAAATAAACTATTTTTCGCCAATATAAATCAATTTCTCCATTTATATGTATCAAGAATTTGGCACGTGAAGATACTTAGATGAGAATCACGTTTTATAATATCACATAAAAAAGTGCTAAACTTTGAGATCGTGACTCGCGTCACAGTCTCGGGATTTCGCAGCTTTTACATATCAAGTAATAAGCGAGAAGAATATTCATGGTACTTTATTAATACATGCAAGCGATAAAAAAATAAATACAAGCGCGAGAGTACATGATATAAAAGCTTCTATGCTACAATTGCGAACTTGAGTTTATTGCTTGAAGTGAAGCAAGTAAGACAATATTCCAACTCATCTTGGAAAAATAACTTTGCTAATTCAGGATCATAAGGGAGCTGATTCCCATTTTTGCGGTACCATGAGCCATGTAATCCATAATTCCC